CCTAAAGTTTAAAATGCACTTTAAAAATGAAAAATCTATCTTGAAATTTTTTATTGTAGTTTTTATTGCAAGCTAATAGATTCAATTTAATATTTACAATAAGCAAAATCCTTTACTGTATTTCAAACCAAATTTAAATTGATTTGAATTTTTTTTTTTTTTTTTGTAATTGCTAAAATCAGCCATATTGACAAATCTCTCAACAAAGCATAACTCTGGCTTTGAGTCATGGTCAATTTAGGAGAAGGACAATTCTGAATTAAAAAAAAAAATAATAAAAATAGTGAAGAAGATGGGGGAAAAACAATCCACTGTATTTTCTAAGAAATCAAGACAGTTCATAGATAGTAAGAAAATGAATCTGTCGGGTGTCATGATTGCCTACATCCTGAAGTGATATGACATTTAAAAAAAAAAAAAAAGTGATCAAGCAATTCTGAGTGATTTGTTGATGGAGTTAAAACAAATAAGCTTGTTGGCAATGCTAATTAATGCTGCCTTTAAAAGCCTCATTTTCTGACTACTTAACCTAATCAAATAATTTTTCTATTAGTTACATGTTCTGCCTCATTGGTCTTTGATGGTGCTATGCTGTAACATATTTCTATCACGAGAAATCCATTTTGTTTTTTATATATATATATATATATATATATATATATATATATTAATTTATTTATAACAAACATAATATTTAATTTATTTGTAACAAACAGTTATTTCTGATGAAAAATTGAGGACAATTTGAAATATCAAATATATATATAAAATAAATAAATACTTTCATAAAATAAAACATTATAATTTTCAATTTGAAACTTTTTATATATATATATATATATATATATATATATATATATATATATATATATATATATATGGCTAGTGGTAAAGCTCTTCTCTTAATGAGGTGTTCTTTTGAGTAGAAGTTTTCCAAGTGATTACTATTGATTACCAAAATTGAAAAAAAAAATCAGTAGGGACTTGATTATGAGTCACTAAATCTCATTTAGAATATAAAACAAGAATATAGGGGAAAAAATTATTAGCTTTAACCCATTAACGCCTACCATAAAATCCTGTATTATGAATCGCTACCTCTAACCTATTAATACCAACTGTCTTGAAAATTCAATAGTGAGCATTGATGGATTAACATACTTTTTATATCTGGAAGTCTTGTTATGGTTGAAGCTGGTTTTAAATACAGTCCCCACTGAACCTAAATGAACATAGGGAACAAAAACAAAACGATAATTTAAAACCAAATATTAGCAATTTTCACAAGGATCGAACATGTTCTTCTCACTGCAAATGATGTAAACTGGTCAATAAAAATGTAGAATATTTCATTTTATGCTTTTATTAAACTGTTTTTCTTTTTATTATATTTTTCTTTAAAAAAAAATAGGGTACAGCTGAACAAAAAATTCAAATTCCATTGAAGTTGTAGGCAAAGATTAATGAATAAAATAAAAATATTTCTTAAATCCCCTGAAGAGTATCACCTGCTTATCATCTCCTTAACATTAAGACCAGCATTCCTAAGGAGAGATCAATCAGTTAACTTTGTTTCTGAAACCAGATACTTGGATAAACAAAACAAAACAAAACAAGAACCTGTAACAAAGCAGAGGACAATCCTACTGCACTCAGCATACTCCCCAATCTCAATATAAACCCAGGAAAAGATAGCTTTGAGGTCTGTTCTCTCTACCCTTTTGCCAGAAAGCCGTATAGACTGGTCCACTCCACTAAACCACCAAAGAACTAGTCTACTACTACTTCCCAGTACAAATAAGGAAGGGTCTTGCTCTCTCATTTTCTCTCTCTCTCTCTGTTCCAGCATACAGAAAACTATGAATTCTCTCACAAGAAAAATACAAATTGTATTCATAAAAGAAGAAAATAAACCTTTCAAAAAACAACCTTCCTTGAGCATTCATTCATTTTGAATGTAAAAAACAATCACCACAAGATCATGGTCATGTTCCAAAAAGTCTAGGACCCCCCCCCCCCCGTTCTCTAAGGATTATAAATGGCACTGGTTTCATCCTCTCATTAGTGAGATTACACTCTTAAGTTTTGTCAGACACAGGCTTCAGTTCTCACCATTGAGTAAGAATTGCACAAAGATTCAGTTAGGCACTGGGGATCTAGTTTCCAAACAGCACCTTCATGGATACACCTACATTAAAAAAAAAAATTGATTCTCCGAATTATTCAAACAAGTATCTGCATTTTTGTTGTTTTCTCTAGCCTTCTTTTGGTAGAGGTTGTATCTGGCCATCTTTGAATCTCAACCAATTATCTTTAGTATTCTGCCAGCACTTTAATTAAAAAAATTCACAGATCAATGCATCAAACTTTGATACTTAAATATAACATTTTTAGTTAATCTGAAAAGATAAATAAATAAAATAAAACAAAACCTTATGTAGAATGTTATCTGCAGAGGTAAGGATGAATAATTGATATTCTGTTTTAGTAGTGTTTGTAATCAACATGTACCTAAACACAATGCTATTGCTGCTACCATTTTGTACTCTTTCACATCTTAAGAATTTTTAATAGCAATTTTCATTGTTTTCTCAACAATCAATACATGAGACTGGTTTATTTATATTATCTTTTTTTCCCGTTCTTTCTTTAACCAAATTTTCAAACTAGATGCACGTTTTTTAACCTTGCTCCATCTCTGTTCCATTTTTTTATTATTTTAATTTTCTTAAAATATTTTGTGCCTTTTTAATCAATTCACCCCAAGGAAGGTGATAATGCCTCTAAGACGCAAGGGGCTACTAGGGAGTAATGAGAATGAGAAGACTTTAGAATAAACTAGAAACTTCAGAAACAAGGGATAAACTTCTCCTGTTCAAAAGACCAGAGAGGAGTTTGAACTGGACAATACGTGAACCTATCTAAACCTATTGAGGAAAAAACATAAATAGTAAATAAAATTTTTGAGTAGAAATATAAGGTTGAAGTAGACTTTAGAAGGAATCAGAAATACAATCGTAAACAGGAAATAAGGGATAAACTTTTACTCCTCTTCAAAAGACTTGGAGGCAGTGTGAACTGGGCGATAAATAAACCTATCTACTCAGAAATTATAGCTCTCACGTTTTTTAATATTTTTATTTATCTTTTTCATTTGTTTTAAATGCCATGTCCCTTCAAGACATAGACAGTTATGGCTCTTCTTTACAGATTCCTTTTCTTCATGAATTGCCATGACTTCTTGGAATTCACTTTTACTTCACTTAGACTGGTGGCCACCCATGACTAGAAAGTCTATTCCTATCCTGCTATTTATCCCATAACTAGAGAGAGGACAGAGATTCATATGTTATCTAAGAACATTAATTTGAAAGTGAACAGACTAAGCTGAATATTCAGTTTAGAACCAATCAAAACACATTTTCATCAACTAAAACCTCTTTGGTGAGCGTATTTGAGACAATAGAGAAGACAAAAGTATATACTTCAGTAGCTGCATGCAACTCGAAACACCCATAATGCTCCATGCATTTTTTTTAATACTAATGTTCACCCAATACAAGGCCCAAGAGCCACTCAAGTTAGAGGGTTACTGTGTTGGAGTTGTATTAGTGTAAGTAAGGACAAAGATTAAGCATATACAGTTGAAGTAGACTTCAGAAGGAACCAGAAACCTAATCCTAAACAGGAAACAAGGGATAAAGCTCTCTACTCCTGTTCAAAACATCGGGGAGGGGTGTGAACCGGACGATAGGCGAACCTTTACTCCTATTGAGTAAAATTGATTAATGGATGTCAGAACAGGCTATTTAACCAGAATTACGTTCTAATATTCTCTCTCTCATTACTAATGTTCACACAATGCAAGACCAAAGAGCCACTCAAGGTACAGGATTACTGTGTAGTGTTGTATTAGCGTAAGAAAAAACAAGAAGTTCTTTGTACTATTTAGGGAAGATCGGCTAACTCTAGACTTGAAGAGGTCAATATTTAATTAGGGAATAAAATTTTAGAGTTCGGTCGTAGACGTCAGGTGTAAAAAGAGTAGAATTTAGAAGAAACTGGAAACCCAATCCTAAACAGGAAACAAGGGCTAAACTTCTATTCCTGTTCAAAAGACCGAGTATATGATTTTTCCTTTCAGACTACAACTCAGTAGATCATTTATTAAGACTAGCATTACAAATAAAGTAAAACTTTTTTTTTTATTCATATTTAGCATTCGTTTAAAAAGAACCTTCTTTTCTAGAATGCAAATTATACAAAAGGAACTTTTTCAATGACTCTGTTACATTTTACATTACAATCAATTTCCTCCGCAAATCTTTTACAAACTTCCAACACTTCAAAGCAAGTTTTCCATATTGTAAATTTGGTTACTATTATTATTTGTTTCACACTTTCATTTTCACTCTGTCTCTCATAATCCCTACATTATGGCCTGGTTTAACTATCCTTGCTCCTTTGCCCACCTAGTAGTAAACCACGCTCGTTGGCTGGTTACAACGTGGCCACAAGTTACAAGTATCTTTGAAAAGTTAAAAAAAGGAAAAGGTTTACAATACCGCTTGCAAAACTGATTTTGACCGTACCTTACTTTGATACACTATTTTTTTTTTTTTTTTTTTTTACACATAATACCACAACTGTGGTACTCGGTGAACCTCTCAAACTCAGTCGAAGTAATGAATGGTACCAAGTCTACCTTCTCCATGACGCATTCATTTTCTTCTCTTCCCTGAAACCAACTAAAAACAGACCCAGGCTTTCAATAAGCGAAACACATGCTTCAATATTTAAATTAAAACAAATAATTTTTTTCTTCTCCTCATTTTCTACGTATGTCACTTGTTGTTAAGTAGCCTCGAAGCTGGCCCCTTTAGTTAGCGTCATAATTTGTCAAAAGCCGTTGCGCGATTAATTCCGCCCGTCTGTAATTGAGATGAAAATTAGACGAACGTTGATCTATTTATGACCACCAATCAGCTGTTCTCTGGGAAATGAACATCTCCAACGACACCCATTCACTTTCTCTCTTTTCTCCCCACCTCCTCTTCTCTCTCCCCCCCTACCTCCTCTGCAGCCTCCTCATCCTTCCGCCACGCTTTCCACCGAACACCTTCCTCCCGCCAAAACCTAGCGAAACTGACGAAGAGAGACACGGTTCTGTTGCTTTATCTCTTATCGCGGCCCTTGTACTGCCTCGGGAATTTATCAGCTTGACAATTAATTGTTGCAGATATTGAGAATGTGTTTATAGACAGAAATGAGGAAATAAAAGAAAAGAGCAATTCAAGAACGTTACAAATACAGACCGACATTGAATAACACGGAAGCTGGGATGAAACTAAAAGAAAAGACGACAACGCCTCAATAATAATGCCTCTATATAGTAATTGCTTAAAGGTGTTTACTCTTTAAGTTTGTTATTGGGTGTTGTTAATGTTTACAACAGGAACCTTTTATTTTCTTCTCTTTTTTTTTTTTTTTTTTTTTTTAATACCACTACCAATAATAGGATGTTCAGGTTGCATACGTTGAAAATGGAATCTGCAATTCGTGTTCAAATTTTGGCTAAGGCTGTTGTATTCACTTCATGGGAATGGTGTGGACCCGTCTTTTCTGCCCTCCCACTTCACAAGCTATGTGTAAAATAGTAGAGTAGACTGTGCCCTTTAGTCAAGAACAACAACAACAACAACAACTCAGAATTCAAAACCCTGGAGATAGCATTGTAAGGGCGGTACTACTTACTCCACCATGTTTCCCAAGTACAGCCATGGCATTTCACAGATATTAAAAAGAGACGCTGTGGAGATCCATGAGCACCTATGACTTTAGAAAATAATTGGAGATTTACTTCTTTTTTGTAGTTCAACTTTTGGTATCAGTTTGGACTCTGATTTACTCTTTTTAACAGATTTTGCAAAATACAAACAGCTTTCTTTCTTTTTTCATTTTTGTCCTAATTCTTCTCCACGGTTATACTCCCCCTATTTTTTTTTTTTTTTTTTTTAACCGTATACACGTGAGTTAAATATCAAATGTAGATCAGGATCCAACAGGATGATAAAATAAAGAACAAATAGAAAACTTTTACATGTTTCACTTTTATTAAAGCTTCATCAGAGACTGAGAGAAAACAGACAAAAAGACAGAACTTTGGTGTTTTTAATTTTGTTTGGTTTGATTCTCATTGTTCAGTCATGTATCATGCACATTAAAACCATAGATAATTCTGTAACAATTCTGATATGTCTAAGCAAGCATCTGGTAATAATGTCTATTTGTAATTGTGTATGTCTAGGAGAAGTTCTAATGTTTTCACTTTTGTGTGGTCAGTTGGCGTAGTAGGATGGTATTCTATAAATCTGGGGCTATTTTTATGTGTGTGCTGTCTGTATTAGATAGATGTATGTTAGATTCTTTAAGAATTGATAAAAAGAAAGGATGGCTATGTAATGTTTTAGGCCTGTGTTTATAGTTGACAATAATGTTATTATTAAGCTTTCAAAATATTTTCTTAAAGAATTGTGTTCTTTTTAAATTATGGTGGCATTAGTAAAATCAAAGTTATGAACAGCTTTGTTCCTGTGTAATACGGGAGCATTAAAAAGTTTGTCTAAACGCAACTCACACTTATGTTTGTAGATGCGGGTTTTTAGATTACGTGATGTCTCCCCCACATAAACATTTTTGCATTGTAAACAGTTTTATAAACCAGCATTTGAATTGGTGTTGGGCTTATTTCTTTTCCTACTTGCATGTCTGATTTTCGTGGAGTTGGTGGTAATAACTCTAGTTTTAGGGATGACTAATTTGTTAGCGAGTTTAGTAGAAAGTGTTGGAGGGTAGGATTATGAATTTTGCTCGGTTTTTAGCATTGAGGATGAAATGTGGGTACCAATCAGAACCAAACAGAATTGTAAATATATATATATATATATATATATATATACACACATATATACACTCACACACACATTTTGTAAAAAACAACTGACAAAGTACTGTGGTTAAGTTTTTCTTTTATTTGATTTTTATTGAAAACCTACAAAAAACTTGTTTCTAATGAAATATATATAAGCATCAGCCTGAAACAATAAATCCAAAAACTGTAAACTCTGGAGGGGAAAATGGCTATAATCATCTTTCCAGATCAACACAAATTACTAAACAAATGATCAGAATTTATCTCAAAATTCAAACCTGAAAACAAATTTTTACTACCTTATTTAACGATCAAAAATTAAAAAATTGATACCTTGTAAAAATATTACCTTGATAAATCCAAATATATATACTATATACAATGTGTGTGTGTGTGTATATATATATATATATATATATATATATATATATATATATATATATATATATATATATATATATATATATTGCAGATAATGAAACATACTTTAGACAAAGCCAATACCTTAAACTAATAATATAACCACCACCTTCCCGGAAAAAAAATGACAAATTAACAAACTATGAATGCATACATAAACACAAGTAAATGTAATAACAAATAACTAAGTAATCAATAATAATGAGTAAAAAGTTGGCAACATTATAAAATAGCTACAAATAGCTATATTCAGATCTACAATTATTTCTACTCAATAGCCTCTAGAATAATTTGAAACCTAACTGTTACCACCCACCAAACATTAGGAAACTACAACAGACCTTAGTATCCATTGATCAGCATATATAATAACACACATGGCCTGAAGATTGCATTCAGCATGAAACAAACTATTGCTGCTTGGTGTTGACTTTAGTGTTCATTTTTATATTTACTTGCTGTCTATTTCTGATATTGGGCACATTTACCCATAAATATAGCATACCTTAAAACTATATTTTTATCATATATTAGTCCTAAAGTTTTGCTGACTTAGATATTTCAGCCTCTATTCAGGCTTGATCAAACACCTTTCCTTGCCTAAAAATTGTCCCAGGTATAATCTTACTTTGTAGAAAATAAATTTCCCACCAACAAGAACATGCCAACTTACAAAATTTTCCAGCTAAATTTTGAAAAATAATGCATTTTTTCTACAATATATAGAATTCAGATTCAAAAATACAAAGTTTATTTTAAGAAAGCATATAATTCTATTATCTCACTCTTTAATAGCATCTTTAATATCACAAAATACAGTCTTAATTGGTTATGGTGGATACTTTTAAAAGTACACAACTTACAAAGAAACTATGCTTAAGTTTAAAATTCTAGATTTTAGTTATAATTCTAGATTTTAGTTATAATTCTATTATCTCAGTCTACCAATGCTTTTTCTTTGATATCTCTAAGAGTTTACAGAAGGTAGTAAAAGAAAGCACTAAGCATCAATTGAAAGAAGACAGAATGTATGGTTGTTGGCAAGAAGAACAACCCAAGATACAAAATACAAATTAGAGATGTTGAAATGAAGCAAATGCAAAAATTTAAATATTTGGGAAGTATTTCTAACAGAAAATGGAAAATGTGACACTGAAATTCAAAGGCATATTAGAATAGCATAAGATGCCTTCTAAAAGCTAGGCAAAGTATTAAGAAAGAGGGAAATTTTGTTAGAAACAAAGAAAAAATGTACTAATCTGTTCTGTAATATCAATCGTCTATGGCAGTGAATGGTGAACCATCTTCTCACAGACTTGAGGTTCTACAAAAGGATGCTGAGAATCTCATGTTCTCAAACATGTAAGTTACAAGGAAGTTTTAAGTAAACTGGAAACAAAAAGGGATGCTTGTACTTAGAATCAGTTGAAAATTTTAGGGTACATAATAAGAAAACAGGGCTTGGAGAATTTGACAGGCACAAAGTATATTAAAAGCAATAGGGAAACAGCAAGTGACCTACGTAACCAGTTTGTAAATGGATAGTGGATCAGGGATTGGGAGACAGCAAAAAAAAAACAGCTCTTACTAAGAGCTACAAAGGATATGAAGTTGTGGAGAACCATGATTGCCCGTCTCTTGAAGGATCATGGCACATAGAAGAAGAGTTGTTATATGAGCAAATTAGTGAGAAGGATCTTTGATTCCCACTTGTAATATATTTTGCTGATCTCACAAACCTTATGGCATGGAACAAGAACTTGAAACATTATTATAAACACAATAGGAAATGATGCTTAAGCATTTTAACTAATAATGCTTCAATGTTGTTTTCACGCTCTCCTCAATTTAGTCTTTCTTTCCAACTTGTGTTTGGGTCAGAAGCAAAGCCCTTGAGTTGAGGTACTGTAAGAAGAGTTGAATACGTTGCTTAAAAGTGAAAACATTATTGCCAATGATTCTTTTATTTTCTCTTTGTTTACAAAAAAAAAAAATCTTAGAAATTCCATACAACAGAATAAGGTAAATTATTTAGCATTTATAATTAAAAAGAAAATAATGTTTGATTCTGAAATTTGTATAGGAAAATATTCACCTCCCACTCACCCCAGCCATTTGTTTGAGACTGAGTGATGAAGTAATGACTTTAAAAAATAAGTACTTAGTTGAAGCTCAAATGTAAGAACAATTTTTGGGAAGGACATGAGGATTAAGTGGCATTGAAGAGTTTTAAATAAATTTAGCAGCTCACTTTTTATTTTTTTTATTAACAAAATCTTCAGGATGCAGAAAATTATGACTTGGTGACCTCCTCCTCTTTTTTTTAATATCTGCTAAATGTCTGTCTGTTCTTGTGAAAGGTAGTGGAGGGGTTTCTCATTGTCTTCCTCTAGTCTTATTGCTCTGCCAAGGTTTAGAGAGTTCAGTCTACCCTATTATTTTACCAAGAGCTGGGAGAGGGAAAGAGGTGAATTCATGCCTTCCCTAAATGTATAGAATGAGTTATCCTACCTATGTTACAGCAATGGAATTTGATCATTCATTATTCAATTTGAATTTGCTTATTTTTATTTTTTACAATTTACCAACCCCTTGTGGATTATTTAAAGCCAAAAACGTATATTGAACTGTAAGAACAATTCTTTCTCTGTGAGTGAATATTGCATTAACAATTTTTTTTGAGAATAACAATGATTTTTCCAGATACATATATTACTATTTAACCCATAGATAGAGAAAGGAGTTGGATTCATACCTTTCCCAAGGGTACTTGTGCACAAGTGAATATAACAAACCTGACTGGAATTGAAAATCAGCACTCTGATTTCTCTTTCAATTTAGACAAGAATTAAAAAGATTGAAATTTCAAAAGTTGGTTACTTGATATTTAATTTATTCCTGAAATAAAGGCATGAAAAATAATGGAGAAAAGATTCCAAAGTAGAACAAAAAGAGAGGAAATAAATAATTATTTATTATAATTTATTATTGTTTATAATATGCTAGGCTATGAGGACCTCGTTAGTAGGCCTAGCATAGAAATAAATACAATATGGGAGCCACTAATAAAGAAAGACAAATGACAACAAGTCTTTAACCACAGTAGTAACAGTCAAAACCTGACAGTCAGCAGCATTCTAATCAGCAGTGATGGTTAGATTTAAGTACAGTGTAACCCGGATATAAGAGAGTTGTCGGGACCGGAGAAGAAGTCTCTTATATCCGGGTTTGGTCTATTTTATATACATTAACACAGGCTCTAATTTGGGACCAGAGAAAATCTCTCTTATATCCGGGTTTCTCTTATATCTGGGTTTCTTATATCCGTTACACTGTATATAAGTTTACACCAGCAAATTGTCCTACATAAAAAAACATTGGTTTGAGAATTTTGTGACCTTGTTGTTGTGAGTTCACTCCCTGGGTACTTGTTCAGTGAAGCAATAAAATAAACTGATAAAAATAAGAACTAGCTGATATCCTGAGACATGAGCAGTGAAACAAGAACAGTCTACCCCCATAGATTAAATAAAGGGTTCGGTTCGGAATTCCCTCTAGATTAGAATGTAGATCGATATACACCTGTGGAAAGGTCGGAGGACACAATGGCTGAAACTTTAAATAGATAAATGCATAAAGTCTGCTGTTTTGTTTTGTTTTTCTCACCACCCTCCCTGCTCGTACTATTTACATTCAGACTATATTTTATTTTAATATCCTTTTGCATTCTTTCCTTCCTTAACCTAAAATTTAAAAAAAAAAAACAAAAAAAAAATAGCTAGTTAGAAGAACATGTTAACACTACAAACGGGTGATATAGAAAGGACTAAATGAAGTGATAAAGTGAACACTGAGATTTTGACATTTTGGAAGTACAATATAAAGGAGTGGCGTTCAAATTATGGACTGTTTTGCGTGAAGAGTTTGGGTCAGACTCACATGTTAAGGAACGGCCTTACTCTGGCGTGCACGATTTATTTGGGAAATTTTGCCGCTGTCTTTAAAATCAGCACGGCAGTTTGTGGTGATATAAGAGGCTTAGGGGCAGGCAGGTCCTTCACCACCCAACAGTGCTATTAGCCAGTCATGAACACATGCACTCTCTCGCTCTCACACATGCACACATCTGTTTCAGCAACTTAAAAATGCTAACAGGTTTTCTTTCTTTTCATTTATTCTCTCTCTCTCTCTAATACATTCTTTTGAATTTGCATCTCTTCTGTTGTACTTTTTCTTTCACTCCCCCCCCTCTTTTTAAAGCTTTTCACTCTTTATTTTGCTTCAATGATTTGCATATTTTTTTTCTCCTGTCTCCTTTTCATTTTCTTTTTTTATTTTTAAACTGTCTTCTCTTCCTCCTCTATTATTTACTCTTTCTCAAAATTGTCACTCTTTCTCTTCATTTTTGCCTTCTCTCTTTATGTTATTTGTATTTTGCTTTTTTATTATTGGCAAATTTTTATTCTCTTTTTTATTTTTTATTTTTTTTTATCTTTTTCTCTTTGGCATTTTTTTTTTTTTTTTTTTTTTTTTTTTAATTTGCCTTCTCTTTTATTATTTACTTTTTCTTGGAATTGTCACTTTTTATGTTGATTGATTTTTTAACTCTCTCTGAGTTATTTGTATTCTGCGTTTTATTATCAGTACATTTTATTCTCTGTTTTGTCACCACCACCACCTCGCCGCTCTTTCTTGTCTATTTTCCTTCCTCCATTCACTATTCTTTCATTCTTTCTCTAAATCTCTCTCGATTGTTTCTTTTCTTTTATGCTTATTTTATTTATTTATTAATATATTCTAACAATTTATCTCTGATTCTATCTATTCTGTTGTCACCCATTCCTTTTCTCTGTATTTTAGAAATAATTTTTTTTGTTCACTCACAGAGGACTTAACAGAACCAGAAAAAAAAATGTCTAGTTTGGACAAAGGATATGGAAATCAAATTACTGAAAATCAATTGCATTGTCTTAAATGCACACACTCTCAAATAAAAATGTTATATATATATATATATATATATATATATATATATATATATTTATATATTCATTCCCATATCAAAAGAAATCTATTTACCCAAAGATCCCAAATCTTGTATCAATATGGTGACCTAAACTCATACTAATAATGTTACCTAGGCTTGTATGTTTACAATAATATCAATTTTATCTACTTCTGTATTTTCATTATTAGCATGACATTTTATTGCACAGAATTGGAATAAACAAATAGATTTGCTTAAGTCTGTTATCTTAACAGTACCAGCTGCAGAAAACCTTTTTTGCTTATGAAATTAATATTCCATATTTGTTAATTTACTCTTAATGAAACAGTCACATCCATTTGACAATTGTTTTATTGCCAATCATACATCATTGACTGGCTTTATCATTTTCATTTCAAATAATTTCATTTATTGTTTGTGATTGCCTTTAGAAAATCTATAGCTTGTTTGTTTAACAGAGGCCAACATTATCTTTTAAATTTAATTTGCAATTCTTGATTCCAATGATGTTCAGAAGTGGGTTTTTTTTTTTTTGTGTGTGTGTGTTTTTTATATAGACTGTTGCTATGGAATTACAAAGAACTTTACAAAACGGCAAAAATCACAAACACTTCCAACAACAAAAATGGTTAGCACATATAATTAGAAGGAGAAACATTGACATAATCAAGATGTTAACTTTCCACACTACCTTAAACAAAAGGTTAGAAAGAAAACTCCCATCAGTACTAGAAAGAGCTATAACGGTTACTGCACTTGAGAAACTTATTTTCCTGAAAAAACTCTGTTTAGTCAATGAATGCTGAATATTTCCTATATAAAAACAGCTAATCTCACTGTTACCGTTGTTTTTTATTTTATATTTGCAAAATCTGGTACATATTTTTCTTGCTTTGTTAATAAAATGTTATGTTTAAGAGCTTTTTTTTTTTTTTTTTTTTTCAAGAGACATAATTTGAGAATTTCATGTTTATATAAAATTCTATTCCCTTTCTTCATGTAACTTTCAACTCAAATCCCATGACACTAAAATGTACATGTTAAACCAAAAAATACCTTATAATAAACTTATTTAGTCAAATCTGTATTTGTAGTTTTCTAAAAATGTCTTTGTACTTTTATATCCTAAGGTGCCTACCAATGAGCATTGTTTTGCAAAATCATCTTATTGGCAATTTCTTTTTGTGAATAGTTTTTCTCAAAGTGACCTGCATCCATTGTGTTGACCAAAAAACTGCTTTTAAACTACAAATTGAGTTTGCTTAAATGTGTAATGATACCAAAAAAATGAAGTGCAAAATGGTGTTACTACATTCTCAGGGATGTGTGAAATATCTGGTGAGACATGGAATAACTTGAGACATGTAAAGAGTCCTCAATCTGTTCAGGTTACTAAAAACATTTGTGTATTACCTTGTATAGTCACTTTTAGATGATGGTCTATCATAGGTCACTTTTCATTGACCTCATATTAGACATTTTTATAAAATATTATTTTGAATAGAATTAGGTAGATCCTTAGAAACATCCTTCTCTTCCTAAGAAATTCTTTGTAATATATACATAAGAGTTTAAAAAGAGGGCACAAAAGATCTGAGGTTATTTTCTGATCCCCAGTCTGTTACACTATCATTGTTTTCATTTAAAATGAAGAAGGTGAGATAATTTTACACCAGAACAATGGTATTTTTTTTGTTTATGGTCAATGAAGAACTTAAACATTCGATACAAAACTCCAAAACAAAACTGCTCTCTTTTAATCGGCTAAATTTAAGATGGAGAATGATTTATTGTACCTTCTCTGGCATGAAGTGGAAAATTGAATCAATTGCTGGGTCTGCTGCTAGGAAAGTTGGTTTACTGTGACGTGTTAGACAATTTTTCTTGCCAGATTTTATCTTAAACATTTATAAGTCTGCTATACCTACATGCTTTGAACATTTCACCCACATCTGGTCTGGTGCTTCCGCTATGTATTTAGAGATACTTGATAAAATTCAAAGAAGAATTCACAATGTTATTGGTCCTGAACTGACATTTTGGTTTCAGTCATGTTCCCACTGCTGTAACACATCTTCCCTGTACATTTTTATGAATATTTTCATGGTAATTGTTCTGATGAACTTTCTTTCTATGGTACCTAGACTTTATGAATTTAACCATGCTACTAGACTGGCAATAAGGTCTCCTTATTTTACACTTGAAATGACTATAGATGTGACTATAAGTTCTATACTAACAGTTTCTTCTATCACACTCCTCAATTGTGGAACTCTTTTCCAACTTGTTGCTTTCCAGCCAAGTTTGATCTTCAAAAATTTAAATGCAATGCCAGTCAATACATTCTGTCTTAATTCCTGCTCTTTTCTTATTCTCTCTCTTTATTAATGTTTTCTTTTTCTTATATTTTCTCACACTTTGTAACCCCTTGCATCTTAGTGGCTTTATTACCTTGCTTGGGGGTGAAATGATTTTAAAAAATATATATAAATTTTATATTTATTTATTTATATATATATATATATATATATATATATATATATATATATATATATAGGTACCTCCCAAAATTTGCTATTAAAAAAAAGCATACAATAACGAAAAAATGGACCCAAACTTGATAAAAACAAAGTTTATCATCAAAAAGTTTATTTTTAAGTGAAAAGACCAAAGTCCTTTATGATTATTTTATAAATTTTTTAAATCTTTTCTATCGTAATCTGAAATTTTAGTTAGAAATTTTATTTTTCTTAAATTAGCAGATGGGCTAAAGATTAGTATTAGAAAATTAGTCTCATTTTTGCAGTAAAAAATGCATTGTTTTGGAAATTCTTGCAAAAATTAAATTGTTGGATTTCAATTAAATTTTCAGGACTTATTCACAAATGAATGAAATTATTTTTGAGATTTTAATCTTTTGTTTTAGAAAATCTTGATTTTTTTTTTTTTGTACATCTTTTACACTCACTTAATTTTATGCACTCTTGAGAAATTAAAATTTCAGCCTCTTTATATTTATATTAATTAAAAGTAGGACTCTTTGGAGAATTTAAATTATCAATTTGTTTTTGTTAAACAGAAACAATCATTTACCAGAAATCTGCTCTGAATCATAAAATAAAAAATGCTATAAATTATAACATTAAAAAAGCTTTTTATTGCTTTTATAAATAAGATATATTAAGGACACTATTGTCTTAAGATAAAAAAAAATTTTCTGGTGAATAATGAAATTATACTAGAATTGTTTTCATGTTTTATAGATAAAGTCTCCATAAAACATTAGATCTGCTATGTTGTCAACACAGCTATTGTTGGGATAAAAATTGCATTTCTGCCATATTTTAAACTTAAAGTAAATAATATTTGTTTCAAATCGGATTAATTATACTTTAAATCAGCTAATATTCCTCAAATAAAGTTTCAGAAAAATATATTTTATTTTTAGAAGATTTTTTTAATAAAGAGAATTGCATTGCAATGAAAAACAACTAAAAAAGGGCACTAATCAGCTACCTTAGCAAAAAAAAAAAAAATTTTTTCCAGTCAATTTAAGTTAGTTTTTGAAATAAAGCAAAATATTTTACTTATTGGAAATATTAAAATTAATTCATTAGCTTAAAATTAAAACTAAATTTTTCAACTGATTTCAACAAAACTTCACAGGACTACATAAAATTACCTTGTGGTGGTTCTAACAGGGCTAAAAATGGGGAAAAATATAATTGTTTTTGTACAAAATCAATTTGAAAACACGATTAAGAGACATCGTGAAAATGGAAGGGGGACAACTAACATCGGATTTCCTATATTTTTCAGCCGATAAAACAAAACTTCACTTTTTTTTTTTTCTTTTGGCAGGTAGTGTTTCTTATTCTCTTGCACACTTTTTTCTTTATTTTTAACATTCAGAATGCTTTAAAAATTCCATTTACAAGACAATTGTTTATAAAATTATTCTATTCAATCGGGAGACTCATAACGATTGAAAACAATGTTTTTGTTTGAGTTTGGGTTTGACCAATTCGTAAAAAAAAAAAAAAAAATGATAATTAAGACATGCGTGTCTGTCAACCTTAAACAATAATCTTTGTCAATTTTATTTTTCAGTCTTTTATGATGGTGGATACTTGATCTATGTCTTACTGTTATATCCCGGCAACGCCGGGCTCTACTAGTATATATATATATATATATATATATATATATATATATATATATATATATATATTTATATATATAAAATGTAAATGTTGAAAATACAGTAGAAAATTTGTAGAATCAGTAATATACTTTATGAAATAAAATGATTTTATTTTATTTTTTTTAAAGTAAAAATGTTTCATTGATTTCTGAGATGAATTAACCAAAATTGACCATAATCCATGGTTGTGCAAAGTACAGGCTCTATATGCTCTGCTTGATGACTTATGTATCTACATGACAAATGTTACTTCTTCCATTCACAAAGTTCTGGTAGTTTTTCTGCACTTTGCTATAAATGTCTCTCAAGATTTAATAAGAATTTCTTATTGTAAAAGATTTTCTTCACCTGTATAAATCTCATTAATAATAATCTATATGTTACATTAATTTCTCATAAATTTGTTCAGTCTGTAAAATGTTTCCAATAAGTAAATAAATGTACAAATATCATGCACATGTATGATTGTTATTTATATTGTTGTTTTGAAACTTGATATTGTGAGACGGCCCACTTTATACAAGGCAAGCAATGATGCGGC